GGCGGCGAGCGAAAGAGAAGGGCTAGCACCAAGACAAACTGAGTTTTTACAGGCTGACAGTTTGGCATTTAAAATAAATGCAAGCTGTTTCCAAACGTGTATATAAATCTCCCTGGTTTCTATTTCTTTAATTATTTTTTTTTAAACTCCCAAGGTTTTTTAAATTCTTGATGGAAAAATAAGAGATAGAAGACTGGCTCATGTCTATCATAACAGATTAAGCATTTTTTGAACAGACTTTGAGCTTACATTTTCTGGTTCAACTCCAATGTCTTCACAAAATTTCTCCATACCTTCTGGCCCTACGATGTCATCAGTGCCTGCAAACAAAATGCATTTTACTTATCTCTGAAAATTAAAACAGTCTGACCTTTACAGCACAAGAGAAATGCAATCACGCAGTACATCCTGAACTTCCATATGGTGCGGTTGGTTGGTTTGTTTGGACATGCAGTAAGTATTTCCACACTTACTATCAGACTGGAATACACTTAAACATTTATCTCACCTTTGGAAACAGAGACAGAAAAACTGTAAACCAACTTTTGATTCCTGACAATATGCTTCATTCTACCCACTTACTGAGATTATCTTAGAAGAGTAAATTAGTAAGATCTTTAAGAATGCACCTAAGACTAGCAGAACATCCACGTAATATTACCACATTAAACGAGTGGATCATGGTTACTGAAACTAATTTCTTGGCTTGAATCTCTACTGTTATCATAAGATCATATCACATAAAAATGTGATGCATAGCTATACAGGATACAACACATTATCATTTCCAGAATCTCATTCCTTATTGTCTCATATACTATCTTTATATAATGCTACCTACAAAAAAGAGCCTAAAACAAAAATCTTGTGCTCCTGTTTATTCATGCTGCTATAACATGGCCACACATTATCTGAATTTTAGTAACTGCAGGGGGAAGGAAGACATGAATTACTGCTATTTCTTTGCCAACTTGAAAAAAAAATACAGATGCTATTAAAATGCACTACTATTAAAACATGCTGTTAAATCAAGATATTTGTAACTTCCACAACACTCTACTGAAAAAATTACATAGGCATTAATAATTGTACTGTGCAATTCTGTTTTTTTAAAGTACATTTTAAGTATTTGCACTATTTTGTCAGAATTATTTTACTCATGTTTAAGAGGGCTTATTTGGGAAAAAAAAAAAAAACATTAGAGGCTGAAATGCCTAATTTTATCCTATATAAAGATCACATGTGCAAGAAAAAGAGGTTTTATAAAAGGAAGATCAATCTATGTTTTATTATTAGGTGACCTACTATTCTAGAAATAACAAGGTTTAATTATATCTTTTCCCATCTTCTCATGACATCCTCTTACAGTTCCCTGAGTGTACACAACAGGCTTTAAAAAGACTCATTCCGCAATATAAAGTCACACTAGGGAAAAAAAAAAACAAACCACAAATGCCACATCAACTGTCTGAATATATAAAGAAGACTTATGAAGCAAGAACACAAAAGAGATTATTCTTTGAAAATTCATTTTTTAGAATGTTACTCAATACTGTAAACAGAATCATACTCTCCGCTTTTCTCTGTTTTATCTTGGTGTATGCATCCAATGGAAACCCAAAAGTTCTTTCACATACAGCCTTCCTTTCATCCCTTCTTTCCATGAAAGTCTTGAGAAAAATGAGTTATCCCTGTTGCTAGAGTAAAAAAATAAATCAAGCTGGTCAGAAAGGCAGAGAATCTGACAGATTAGATTTGGCTTGAATTTGTCTGAATCTCCTCGCACAGATTGCCACAGATAAGAGAGATCTCAAAGCATTTAACTTAGTTTATATAATTTTATTAGAAGAAAAAAAAATTTATTACATCACATGAAGTCACTCTTCATTATGCATAAGAAGTAGACAAAACAGAACAAGCTGTGAGCAATGTTATCCAATACAGTATCACAAAAATGCAAGATGGCCTTATTTTGTCAATCGCCTATTTCATTTCCTTTTGGTCTTTACAGTCATGAGATCATTCTTCCCCATACTTCAAGCTCTCCCCTTCAGAAAATCATGTGTAAAAAAAAAAAAATTAATACAATGACCAACTTCACTATTAAGGGATCATCTTTTGCGACCGCAGATCATAATTAACAATCCTAGAAGTAATGCCTGAAGAAAGTTCTCATACACAAGGGCAAGAACAAATAATTCAGTCTACCTTCCCTATGCCTTGTGATGGAAAACTATATAAAGACAAGACTAGTACAGGATACTTGATTTTATTCACTTGAA